TCAAAGTGAACAGAAAAGCAGATGGATTTTTTTGGGGGGGGTTATTTTGTTTTTTTCTTTGACCAGAATAGGCTTTTGTAACAATAATAAACTATTCATGATTTTCATGATTTCTTTATTCATGATTTTAGAAGGTGGTGACCCTCAGATGCACTTTTACAGCCCTTCAGTCAAAACTTTGGCTGCTGTTGCCTGGATCAGATCATTTAATTTGCTGGACAAACCTTTACAGCCATGTTGTTTCAAGTACATAACTATCTGCACACAGTTTAGTTAAAGATATCAGAAACTTGTCAGGATGGCCAGTTAGTGCCTGGAGGCATAAATATTTTATCATCACTCAGGAGAAGACAACCTGAATGTCTAGGTCAAATGCAAAGTGCTCAGGAGACAGGAGATGAGGCTAAATATTGTAAAGACTTCCAGTGCATCCTTCTTGAGAAGCTGTGGATCTGTTTGTTTTGTGCTAAAGGTGAAAAGGGGAGGGTTGTTTGGTGTGGAAGGGCTGGGTTTGGAGGGGATTGTTGTGGTTTGATTGTTTTTCTGCCATCTGTGGAAAGTACAGAAGACTTTCTGCTAACACTGGCTCACTGAAAGTGTGCATCAGGCTGGTGATGTAGGTCCATGACGTTGCTGCAGCTCATGGGGAAAGCAAAGAAAGAGGATCTGTCACTCTGCCAACAAAACATTCTGTTCCAGATGGGTTTATAAAACATAAACTGGAAGAAACCTATCGAATTCTCTTTAACATTGACCTGGCTGTGTTTTTAGAATCTTTCTGAAATACCTTTCAGCAAGTGGGCCCCAGGTTTCAGGGCAAAATTGCTCTTCCCTAATTAAGAGTTTACAGTGGCAGCAACACCATCTTATTTAGATGTTTCTCTCCATAACAGACAGAAGGCTTCGTGCTGCATTTAGGGGTGATTAAGTGGACCACAGATTGATGCAGGAGTAGAAGATGGTTGCAAGAGGAGATGTTGGGTGTAAGGTGGCTCATTGCATGAAACTGGGGAAGATAAGCTTGGGCAGAGCCAAGGTCACACATCAAAACTGGCTGGCTAGTTTGGAAGGCTGCAAAGAATGCACACAAAGCAAGCTGAGGCAAGCTGGCCCTTGTGGTGTCATCCCCAAGACCATCTGTGACCACAGATTTCATTTTGACAGTCAAGCCTTTGTCTTTGGATGGGAACTTTGGTGAAGGGTCTATCAGACTGTTCAGCTGAGGTTGTTCCCACAGTAACAATAACATTTCCTAGCCTGAATAAGCTTTAGAGGAGATGCTTGGATTCTGCATGACAGAGGCTGTGCTGCTTTTATGATTCACTTCTTGCTGATGGCTTGTGTAGGAATGAGCATTGTGTTCAGGTCCCTGCTGCACCCAGCAGTGTGTGATATGATGGTTGCTGAAGTCCCCTGAAAATAAAAGCCAACTGAAGAGTTGTGATGATGGGAAGAGGAGAGAGAGGCACTTATCCTACCTCCCTTATACAGCTGTTGTACTACAAGAGTCTTTCTCTTTTTTTTTTCTCCTGAAAGGACTTATCACCCTCAGCTTGCTCCAGAGAAAGCTCAAGTGGCTCAGGATGAGGCAGGCAGCTCTTCCATGGCTAAAGTTCAGCCAGACAAATTCCACATGAGTGATGGAATTTACATTGTTTTGTTTGTTCAGAGGTAGTGTGTGTTCTGTTCTCTTGACAAGGGTGTAGCTGGTCCTTAAAAAGGAGCAAGGCACTTGCTTGTTTGCCTTCTGGAGCAGCTGGCACCTTCAAGGGGAAAGAGGGTCCATCTCATGACAGCAGCAGAGCGTGGAGAACTGCAGAAGAAAAAAGCTTCCTGAGTGAAGGGTGGGGAAGGCAAAGGTGGGGAGACCAAGTCAACATAAAGCCTTCAGAAAGGGTGATGAATGAGGAATGCTGGGGAGAGCAAGGAGCAGAAAACAAAGTGGTTTGCTGGGGGCTTAGAGTTTGTTGCTGCCCAAGAAGTCCTCTGAATGCTGCTGGCCTGAAATCAAACCTAAAAGAATGAACCTGCCCTGGGAGCACACTGTGGCTAGAAGAGGGTTCAATTACAACCTCTCTTATTTTTATTATGCTTCCCTCAAGAGGACCAGTAGTGAATTTTCAAGGTTCCCTTGTTCTGGCTGATGTTCCAGCAGAACAAAGTTTTAGGCTGTAGAAGTTCCTTTGTGTGTTTTTGGTCCATTCAGAGTTTGTGCTGTTTCCCACAGAGGAAGGAGGGAATGATCTCTGCACAGAGTCAGGGGTTGCCTTCTTCTTGAACACAGTTTAAACAACAATAAAACATGCAGAAACAGTTAAGAGCAGTGGCCTTTTGGCTATTATAGATCCCAAATTAAGTATTCAGGGTAGCTGCTTCTAAAAACCTGCCCAGATTTTCTTGGAATCTGTAGTTCTGCCTAGAATACATGTTGCTGTTCTAACATCCAGTGCATGAAAAAACAGCTATTTGAAGGAAAAGCAGTTAATGAGCTTTGCTTATGAATGTATTTATGATTTTTCAGTCTGATTTTGACATATTACTGCCATTGGTGACATTTTTTTCTCTTCAATTACACAGAGATAGATTTTAAAATGTGCTAGTTGTATGTATCTCATGTTTCTCTCTCTCATGTATCTCTATCTTGTGTAGGACAAGGATCTTCAAAGGACTAGCTGTAGATCAAAGCCCAGCCTGTAAAATGTGATCAGACAGCCTGCTGAATAAGACCAAAGAGAAACTAGAGCTCTGGAAACTAGACTCAGCAGAAAGCTTAGGAAGAAAGAGATTTACAAGGGGATGGAGGGGTGTGGGTAACCAACTCACAACCTCATGGCAAGTTGCCTTTCCTGGAGCAGAAGAGTGTATCTGAACATGGAGATATAAGAAGAGACTGCTTTACCTCTAGTCCTCTTGGTTAACTGATGGCAAGAAAGGCTCATTTAGATTCTTCCCAGTTAGGTGCTAACAGTGTAAAGTTCTGGAGAACCTACCTTTGCATACTTCTGATCTAGTCTAATCCCAGGCAGCACAGAATGAGGCCCTTTTTGTGCAAGGTGGCTGATGAGTTTCAGGAGGGCAGGAGAACGTGGAGCCAACAGGAAAGTTTCATAAGAAGCAGCATTTTTGGACCTGTTGGAGGATGGAACAGTTTGAGCAAAAGATTTTGATGGACATGAAATAAACAGACTATGAAATACCAACCTTCAGTGTTTTACCTCTGAGCTGTTTCTTCCTAAACTGTTCCCAAAGGTTTCATAGCCACAACAGGTTTTTTTTCTAATATGCCCAAACTTTACTTAAAATAGTTGAAAGCCTGGTGCTATCAGTGCCTTCCTGACAGCCAGTTGTTAGTGGAACCAGCAGTTGTTTCTATGAAGGCTTGATTAAAGTGTCCCACAGCTACAGTTAACTGGCATGTGACTTTTCTTTCTCCAGCAGACTTTCTTATCACGAGCTTTTCATGAGGGCCATGTAGAAGAGAGACTTTTTTTTTTCTCCTTGGGGCTTTTTTTTTTTTAAATGAAACTCTTGAACTTTCCTCTGAAGTAAAATTTGTTTGATGTTGAGTGTATGTTATTCAAATCTCCTTGACATCCTTGTCCAAAGAGCCTGTGTAACCTGTGGCATACACACAGTAACAGTGGGGAGCTGACACTTTTCCTGGTAGCATGTTTTGAGTTAGACACACTCTAAGCATTAAAGCAGTTTATTTGTCTTCCAGGTAGGTAACAGGTCATGGCAGATTACAGATCTAGGGTGCTAGGTGATAGATCACCTTTTGTTTATTGTTATTACAGGAAAATATCTAGGACTTGCTGGGCTAAAAGAAGGTCTTGCCCTTCAAGTCCAATTGTCTTAGTTTAGGAATGAGATACAAGTTGGTGAAGCTGGAAAGGGGCTGAAGCACCTTGTCAGATAATGCTCTTCTGAGGTTTTCTGGCTGAAAACCTTTACTGCCATCCCAGAAGAGTGCCCATCACATGAGTAGTTCATCTGTACCTGTGAAAACTTCTCCAGGTCAGCCAAGAGCCACTACCAAAGTCACTTTGAACCCATTTGACCCTGAAAGTTAAGAAATGCTTTGGACAGTCCAGTCTGGTGAGTCAGGGGTGGGGGCAGCACCCTCCAGCTGTGACACCAAAACAAACACAGGGGAGTGGCACAGGGAAACCACACTGGGCACTTCCAAAGTGATGACACCCTGATGTACCTGGTGCCTTTTCAGAAGGGGCTGATGTCAGCTCTGTTGGGGAGGAAGAATGCTTTTTTTCTTCTTCCATAGCTGTAGTGTGAGCTTGTCATCAGCCTGTCCCCTCACAGCCAGGAGACACTTGTGGAAGAATGTCCAAAGGATTTGAAGAAGGGAAAACTGAGCTGATGCCATCCCCACTGAATTTTAAAAGGAGCACACTGTGCATGGGAGAGGCTTGGAGAAGAGCTCCAGGGTGTTGGCCAGCAAGGTGTAGTGCAGTTGGCTTAGGAAAGGGGTTAAAAAACAACATTTCAGGGTGATGGTGCAGAGAAATACAGCAAGACTAGGTTATGCCTTGGAAGAAAGAGCATGGTGGAGGGGAGAGGCAATGAAACCAGTCCTCACTGGTGTGAGATGGGAGATACACCATCATGGGAAAGATCTAGGGGAGGAATGTCATCTCAGGACCTGTGTGGCATCAGCTGTAGTAAGAGAAACACTCTGAGAAGCCCCCAAGGAGGCGTTTAGCACTGTAGGTGAAGAAGAGCATTGAAATGTCAACTCCAAAGGACAGAAAAAGATGCAGAGACTGGTCCTGAGAGGGGATCAGATGTTGGCACCAGTTACGGCGTCAGAGAAGCAGCACTGAGGAGAAGACAGCGAGGCTGCTCAGCAGCTGGGCTTTACAAATGTCAAGTTTTGAGCCCAATAGCTCAGTAAAGTTTTACTTTCTAAGATTCTGTTTCCTCTCTGATGTAAAGGGACAACGTGGTTCACACAGACCTTCTGTTTTCCTTGTGTCCCCCAGGAAATAGCCCGTCAGCTCCGACCTGGGACTCTGCGTGCTGTCTTTGGGAAGAACAAGATCCAGAATGCTGTGCACTGCACAGACCTACCTGAAGATGGAATTTTGGAGGTAAGACCTGCAAAACAAACGTCCTTTTGTACCCTAGGAAGTTGTAAAGTGAAAAATCTTGGCACTCTTTTAAGCTGTGGAAGTATTTTCTGTGTGGTGTAGCTGTGTGGGAGACCAGTGAGCAACTAGAAACAAAAGCAAAGAGTTTAAAGGGGATTTAACTTGGTTCATTATGATACTGTAAAAAATGCTTTTCTGGAGTGAATATATAGTGCAATGAAATATTTAATGAATTGAAAGCCAACAGTCTCCTCTTTGGCTGAATGTGTCTGTGGGACTGGATTTCAGCACCTAGCAGTGCTTTCTGTGGGGACATCTCAGCCCTTTCTTGGATGACCACCATGACTCCTGATCTGGATTGTCTGTACAGTGAGCCTGTGTGGGGTTTGGAATACTGTAGGCACTAGGCATTCAAATTCTCTGGATAGGGTCCAGGTTTAGTTGTAGACAGTCATAATTCTGCACATCAGTTTGTATTTCCTGTGCTTTATATTAACTTACCAATTTTTGTCTCATTTTGGCTTTGTATGCTTTCATTAAAGTCCAATAGAATGGGAAAATGTTAAATTAAAGGAATTTATAAAGACAGAACTATGAAAACCAGAACAAGCTCACTTAATTCCCTGCCTCAGAACTAAAGTCTGTGGAAGGGGGTTGAAGTGGTGAGTGTTGGATACCTGCATCAATGCAGATGTTTTTCCAGCACATGCATAGCTTCTGTTTTAGTGCCACCATATATTTATGAGTGCTTTTCTATCAGACTCTAGCAGAATGATCTAGCAGTGAGAGTTTTCCTAGCTTGGCTAATTTCACACTGCCAAAATGGTGTTTTAATTGCAGGGGGATGGAGAGCTAACTGCATCACCATCTCCCTCCATGAAATAAAATCAGATCTGTGGGTTAAAGTGCTGTCTGCTGGGAAATTGCATCTAGTTTAAGGAATACATTGCTGAAATTCAACACTGAGAATGGCAGCCAGCATCAACAAAGCTGCAGCTTTCCAAACCATTTCCAAGCTCTCATTAAAAGCTAACAACTTGTGGTTTCTGCCCAAAGGGATTGGATTTAAACAAGCAAACAGATCTTTGTCACCACATGCCTAAAATCCCTCAGTCGTGGTTTTTCAGTGGCAGCAGAAAAAAAAGTCATAGGCTGCAAGGGAAAAATGGAAATCTCACCAACACTCCCAGAGCATTTTAGTGCCTCAGCAGAATTCTCTTTCTCATGTCCACAGTCTGCCTCCCTTATGCTGGGGCAAATCAGGTATAAGTTCATCTTGCTGGTTGTTTAAATTGCATTTACAGCTACTGTAAGTGAGGTGGGTGGGACAAAACTTGGTGGAAGTGCTTTTCCAAAACAAAAATTGAGGCTGGAGTTCCAAGGTCTCCACTACATGTGTTTGTCCTTTGAATCCTGCAGCTGAATCCTAGGCCAAGTTCTTGGTTGAGTGTTACTTAGACTACAAGCTTTGCAGTTCCCATGGCAGATGGGTCATTTTAACAGTCATTTATTGATTGTATTTTTTTGGGAGAGGGATCTAAAATCTTTTTTTTTTTTACTGTAGACATAATTGTACACAGAATGTGGCTCTTCATCTACCCATAGTTTCTTCTAGCTTAAGCCAGCAGTTGTAAAGTACATTGGTCAGTGTTCTTTAATGAGTAAATACAGCAGTGACTTGTTCTGAGTGTTTAGCAAACAAGCATTATAATGTAAACTAGAGAAACCTTTTCCCTGAGAACATTTCAATTCTTGGAACATCTTTATATCTTTGTTCTGTTGCCTGCAAACTTAGGTAAGCAAAATAAAAACTAATCTCTGGATTTAGTTAGTGTGTGTTCATTCTGGCCATGTTCTGGCAGGAGATGTTGCTGTTGCTGTAAAAACTTTACAATATCATTGTCAGACAACTGTCTATGTTGATGATTTTTTTTGGGGGGGTAGGTTCTTGGTTGGTTTTGGTGTTTTGGATGAAGAATAAAGCTGTCCTCCTGTGTAGCAGGGAACACACCAGTGCTTTCCTAGGACTCAGGTACCCTTACTGCCTGTTTTAAGATTTCTCCACCCTTCTCTGCAGTTTTCACCACCCCCAGTTTAAGATCTAGCTGAAATTTGAAAAGTGTTTGCAGGGGCAGCTGCTGTCTGGTTGTCCACAAGTGGAGACTTCTGAAAGGAGATGAGATGGATAATTGAGGGCAGGATCCAATGCTTGCTGAAGTTAATAGCTAAACTCTAGGTGACTTTGGTGGTTCTGAGTTGACAGTCCCTAGGAAGGGCAGAGCAGTGACCTTTCTCCCCAAAATCATGGACAAGGAGTACTTGGGGAAAGGAGAGAACAACACTGTCTTGGGATCAGCAAGGACTAATTAACCAAGTAAGGGTCAGATTGTGTATCTAGTGTTTGATAACTGTTGTACAGAGCAGGTTTTGAGTGGTTTTTTTTTTTGATGGTGTTAGATCTCTTTTCCACAGACCTGGAAAAAGGAAAGTTCACTTTTAATCTTAAAAAACCCACAAACAAACCAACCAACAAACCCAAAAGCAAATAGCATCACTTGCTCCCACCAGTTTGACCCTTAACTCCTGTCTTTATTCTTCTACAAACTACTTCACATGTTAGGCAGTGACTAAAACATACCAGAATTAATGAAGAACTCACTTTGCCTCAAGAAAAGAAGGGAGATGCAGTTGAGCCTAAAACACAAGAGGTGACCATGGCAAAATCAGTGTGTTTTCAGTTGTAAAGCTGGAACTACTTCTTTTCCTTGGAACTGCTTCTTCTAGTGATGCTTTAGTGATGCAGGAGGAGAGTGAAGCCTCTTGGATGAGCTCTTTGACTACTGGGACAAGCACTTTTTGATTCACTTCATAGACTTGTGTCCACAGAGGAGCATGGAAGGTATTCTCACAAGTGACAATGGATAGCAGAGGAAAGGAAGGAGGAGGTAGGGGAGAAAGTCTGGTAATGATGGAGTAACAACAGTTTCTTAATTTCTCTCATCAGCTGTTCATTCAGAACAGGGGTTTGCATTTCCTTCCCACATCCAGAGCAGGTCCTGCTCTGTATGCCAAGGGAGTGCTCTCTCTAGCAGACTACAGATGGTTTTGCATCTGTGTCTTTCATGTACATGTGAAAGATGAGGATTGTTTCTCAACTCTCCCTCTCTGACCTGAAGAACATTCCTGATAACCATCTTGTTGAAGTAGAAGCTTGCAACCCATTGGCTCTGATGAATCATCATTCTCTAGACAAAACAAGTTTCCTTGAAATTACTCCTTCCTGGACTAGTTTTTAATCAAAGTACTTGATACAAGGGGTTGTGGCTACCAGGCTTCACAGTGCCACCTTAAAGGAGTGAAGGCAAGTTAAGGATCATCCAGTGGAGGGAGTAAAACTTCCCACAGGAGGTGGTGCTGTGCACACACCTCACTTCACTGGGTCCCCAGGGGCTGAGCACCTTTCCCATTATGCAGCAAGCCACACAGTCTGCAACCATTAAAAAACTGGTAGCCTAGACCTGCAGTTATAACAAACCCAGTATTTCTGGGCTTGGGCACACTCTGCCTGTAGATTGTTGCTCATACTGTGCAGTTCAAGGTATATTTATATATTTTTTTGAGCAGTTCCATAAGGGCATTTGGACCTCAGCAGAACACTTTGGGGATGGTGGACTTCACACATCTGGGGTGACTTGGAAAGTCTCTCCAGTGAGGTGCAGCCTGCTCTGGCTGAGCCATCCCCACCAGCTTTATGTTCCTATGCCATGGGCCATCAGCCTCATGGGTTTCTTTGCATAATTAAAAGATGATTAGCAGTCATATGTGTCTATATGTGTGTGTACTTGCACACAGAAGGAGTGGAGGCTGCCCTTGGTAACACAGGCATGAAAAAGGATCTGCTGTGGGCTGGGTAAAATTTGAGTTCTGGGTGAAATAACCTCCCAGTTGCTGAGGAAGATGTTGTTAGGAGGTGACTGCTTCTTCTAGTGGCCAACACTGTGGCCATTGCTGCAGGAGCAGGCTGACATGTGCCTTTGCTTCTCTGGTAGCCTGTGTGAGAAGCTGTGGAAGGGGGTGGGCAGTTCAGCTGGTGTTCCAGGGAGCAGAGGACGTGCCAGCTGCCTTCTCAGTCTGGGATGCCCAAGGGTGCTCTTTCCCCTGGCTCCTCAGGGTGCTGCTGGGTGCCTCTGCCTGGCTGCTGGGTGCCCTCAAGCTCCACCCTGGGCATTGTGGAGGGAGCTGGGTCAGCGTTCAGCCTCGCAGGCAGCTTTCCAGCAGCAGAGACCTCCTCAAGTGTCATTTACTGGCCTTCTCCCTTCCCTCAGAGCTATTTGTAGCATCCCCAGACATGAAAATAACCTACCAAAGGGGGATGATTCTGCTGTTATCAAAGCAAGAGTGGGTTTTGTTTGTCTGCTGGGACAGCTGTCGTGCTGGTTGGGTTTTTTTTTCCCTACCACTCCTTTAAATTTCAGCTGTGTGCTGGTTCCAGAGTGAGCCTGGGGACTGGCAGACTCCACAGCATGCTGCTGGAAGCTCTCCTTCCCCTTGCTCAGCCTCACAGCAGGGGGACTGGCTGGCTGCTCCCAGGGCAGGTAAGGCAGTGAGGAATATCATCTGGCTGGGGTGCTCTGACAGACAGACAGACACCCACAGGAGCTCTGGCACTGGGGGTTCAGCTGCCTGCATCCAGCCCTGGGCAGAGGGGGTGATGCCAGGCAGCAGCTTGGCAAGCCAGGCCACTTCAGCAGAACTGAGGGGTGGCTTTTGGTCAGGTTTTCAGATGGGTTTTGTCCAGACAAGGGTCGTGAGTGACAAAACCCTGCATCATTTTCCTCAGGCTTGGTCCTGGCCAACCCCCCTGGCAGACACTGAGGCAGGCTGCCCTGGGGCTCTCAGTGCAGTCTCCCCCTGCCAGCAGCCAGCTGTCCTGGGTCTGGCATGCCAGAGAGGGCCAGGAGCAGCAGGCCTCATGCCTCCTTCCCCTCTGCCTTTATTTG